CAAAATTAAACACACTTAAACCGTACATTTTAATTGAAATTTGAAAAAATCTTTTTACTGGCCTTAACAACTTGTTTTGGTTTATTTGTGGCTTATCTCTGACCTATCAATTTCAATGCCTTTTGCTTTTTTTGATTTTGTATTACAATATTATCATACACAGTTCATACATTGTTTTTACATTTATAATGTAATAAACTAGATGTAGCATTTCATACAAACTTACAACATTCTTTTATATACAATATATTCAACACTAAATATACAAATCAAAACATAAAGTATGTAATTTTATTATGGATATTAATATTCAACAATATCATAAACTTGATATAAAACTTAATACACAATTCATATACACTTCAAACATAAATCATACAAATTTAATATACATATCATACCAAATTAATACAGTGAATCATACACAATTCATACATGTTTCATATATTGATATTGTAATATAAAAAAAATGTGTAATTTCATACAGTGAATCATACACAATTCATACAGAAATAACAGAACATAAAAATGTACTATACTATTCACAATTAACTCGAAATTAGAATAAAATTAAATAGATAATATAAATTTAAATTTTTTTAAATTTTTTTTTTACTAACCTTTAAATTTTTTTTGGGTTTAACTGTTTCTTCTTCTTCTTGTAACAGAGGTTCTTGGTTTTTTTGATTTTGATTTTATCAATTCTTCTACAAAATCAGATTCAGAATCTGATGAGTACTCAATTTGTTTTCCTTTCCTTTTCTTTCTTTTTTCTTTCGCGCTTTTCTCCGATTCATCTACTTTTTGCTTTTCTTTCCCTTTTCTCTTCTTCTCGGATTCCTTTGGATGTTTTTTTATTTTTTCATTTTTGATTTCCCTGATCTAGCTTTGTCTTTTGCATATGAAGGCTGAGTTTGTGTTTGTGATAAAATTTTGAAAGATGTAGCATGAAATTCGTCTGAGCTTTGTTCATCATTCAACCTTTTGGATTTTTGCGGGGTTTCAATGACTCTCTTCGACATTGTACAGTTTTTTAAGTGCAAGAGATGAAGATTTGAGTGCAGAAAAGGAAGATTTGAGTGCAAAATAGTAGAATTGGAGAAGACGACTGTTAAGATTGAAAGTTTTTTGAGCGTGCAAAAGAGATGATTTGGTAAAAAAATTTAATTATTAGGCGTGCAAAAGAGATGATTTTGTGAGGATTTGGGGAAGAACAAAATTTTGGGGAATATAATTTTTTTTTAGATAATGTGTGGCAGTTTTAAAATAAAACTGTAATTATTTTAGATATTGATGGGTAGTTATTAATTATGGAATGATAAAATCCCTATTATTTTGTAATTTTTTTAAAAAAGGTAACTATATAATATTTATTTGAATTTACACTAGTAAAGAGTTTTGTTTAAAAAAGGTAACTTAAAATAATTAATTTAATTAACTACATTTGTTTAAAAAAGGTAACTGAATAATAAATGTAATTATTTAAATAAGTTTATTATTATTTAAAAAAATTAATGAGAATAATATGTTTTTTCTTGATATGCTATAACTTGATAATAATATGCTATAAGTAGTTTATTATTAAAAAATATGTTTATAACTTGATATTTATCATCTTAAATGTGTGTGTAGTGTTATTTTTATTATTTAAAAATATATAGGTAGAATACAAGATAGAGCCTCGAGGCAAAAATTAACTAAAATATAGACTAAAATGTTTGGTGTGCGCTCAACATGGGCCGGCCCAACTGTAAGTAAACAAGGGGCAATACGATGTCGGATCGGCTAAAATGTGTTGTGAACTCTGATTTGTTTGGTATTTGGCTCGGTGAGGGTTTTGCTTGATAGGTTTCGACGAAGATTGCTGAGTTTATGGCTTTTCGTTTCGGAGGGTGGGTTGGTTTCAGCATCGTAACTGCATGTTTTTTCCTTAGGTTTGTTTGATTTTTGTCTCAATTTTTCTTTTGGGTTGTGTAGAAGACAAATGGCTGGTAGGGCTTTGCTTGGAGCATCCACACAATTAAGGTATGTTGAATTTCTTCTTCTCTTCTTCTTCTCTTCTTCTCCAGGTATGTAACTGTTGATTCTGTATCAGGGGATACTGCCAGAAAATCTCTCCCACAGAATCCTCTCGTAGTGATAAAGATGGTAAAATTATCAACCTACTTTTCTATTTCTCGCTTCAAATTTATCTCTCTCATTTTATTTCTATGGTCTTTGCAGTTAGAGCTTGTATTGGGGGTGGACTCGTAGCTTTTTTGTTCTACTCGTACTGGTGCGTACCTCAATTTTGGAATTAAAATAAACTAAAAATTCAATTGTCACAATTTTCCATCAAACGAAATTCTACCACAAACTAGAAATTATTATATACAGAGCTCCAATCCCGTGCAGGCAGAATGTTTGGATTACAAAAGAGAAGAGAAGAGAATGAAAGATTGAGAGGGAAATCTGTTAGTTAGAGAAGAGCAGCTTTATTAAAAGCGAAAAGTGCAAAAAAGCTCAAAGGTTTGTGGGGCTTTAAGCGCAAATAAAGTGTGGGCTTTAATAAAAAAAAGGCGCGAAGGGAGAAAAAAAATAAAAAGGGTATATTTAGTCCGAAACTAATAATTATAAACATGAATGACAAATATATGACCAAATAAATTGAATTTTTTTTATGATAAAGTAAAATATCAATTGTTTAGTGTCACTTCTTCACAAGAGCCTCATTGACAAGGAAAAGTTTGTCTTAGAACTTTGGTAACGACATTGAAGCGCACATAAAGCGAGGCGAAGCGCTCAACACGTTTTGAGTTTCACTTTAGGGCTTAAGCGCGCTTAAAGCGCGCCTTTGATAACACTGGAAAAGATAGAGAGCTCACGAGTAATCCTTTTATTTGCATACAACTTCATCCTTTCTTGTGGAGGTTGTCTTTCAAAAGCGGTACCATCTGTTGTCTTTGCATAACATCTTCAGCAGTAGGAGCAATAGTAGGAACAATAGTCTCAAGAAGGGGTCCGACGGATAGTTGTAGTGGTGAATAACCATAAAGAGCCTCAAATGGAGTACTCTGCAAACCAGTATGGAAATTGGTTTTGTACTGACCTTCGGCAGAAAGAAGCCACTCTCTCCGATGAGTAGGCATGTTAGAGGTCATGCATCTCAAGTAGTTCTCAATGAACCTATCACTCTCTCAGTCTGGCCATCAATTTGAGGGTAATGGGCAGTTGAGTACCCAATAATTTAAACTAGGACTGCCAAGAATTTTTTTGTTTGTATGAGATACAATTGACTTAGGAGTGCCATGTAAACAATGCATCTTCTTCCAAAATTTGTACTATCTGTATTAAAAGGATGGGAGAGGACAACAAAATGAGCATACTTTAATTGCAATGTCCACTACTACTAGTATCACATCTTTGGACCTGGATTTTGGGAATCCTTCGGTAAAGTCCGTGCTTATGTGACTCCAATTTTAATTAGAGATTGGTAGAGGTTGCAGTAGCCCTAGGTAAGCTACATTCTCATCCCTGTTCTTGTGGCATACATCATAAGTCTTAACAGGAATGGTGGTCATAACAGTTTTGATAGCAACAAAGGCTGCATTAGCTTCTTCATTCCACTTAAACGAATCCTTCCTCAATAAGTCTGCCAAGGGTCTGCATATGACCATATCTTGCAACATATTTTCTGTAGTAATCTGTTAGATCCCAAGTATCCTCTAAGAGTAGTAAACAGAACAATGAGTTGATGAATATGATCCTCAAGTGACAAACTGTATGCTAGAAGGTTTAGACAGTTTGACCCCATACTTGATTTCTTCCTTCAGTGCTCCTACAAAAGCTGGACAAGAAATGTGATTCATTCAGAATTGGATTTCTTGGCAACATCTGAGAATTTAAGTCTTCAAACTCCCGTAACAATTCATCCAAAGTACCAGTCTGAGAAAGTTAATTTAATTCTTCCACCACATCCCCTAGTGGTGGTACACTGAATCTGCTGCATAGTTCCTTGTTAAATTCAGGCATCCTACAACTCCCGCACTCGATATCAGCGAATGACACTAAACCTCTGATACACCATTCAAATAGAGAGCTGTTGTTTCTACCTTTTGTTGCTCAAGAATTTTATATAAATTGAAATACCCCACATTTTCGAAACTGAGTCTTGACCATCAAACCTGAGTAATTCCCAATTGGGAAGGGGTATTAGAACCATTGGTAGCCTGTTATTTCTGTTTTCCTTACCAAGGAAATGAAGTAATCCATCTCGTTGTGGCTGCTCTCCATTCCTTCGATTTGGTGCATAACTCAACCTTAAATAAATATTGTTTCAAAATCCCAATAATTGTAAAAATCTAGGCTAAGAAGAAACTATGTGCACTCAAATGTATATAAAACGGGGTAAGTGATACTCAAAATTGGAAGGAGTTTGTTGCAAATAATAGGGATAGGTAATTCTCAAACTTGAAGATCTTTTTTTCCATTTACTATCATGTTTCCTTGTAGGCTAATTGTTTTTGAGACATTTCTATATTTTGCAGGTTACGCAACGAAGCTTGGAAAATTAAAGAGTAAGTTATGTTTGTTTTTTGTTTTTTTTAGAAGGTAATACATATTATTCAGTGATCAACACATATTTAATGTTGAAATAGAGTGATGGCACTAGGGTGGGTAAGGCATGACATGCTAAGATTTCGACCCGCCCTACCCTGCCATATTTAGCATTTCTCAAATAATTGCCCTGCCCTACCCCACCCCACCCCGTCTATGCTTTTTCTTATTTTTTTTCTTTTGCAGTTTTCCAAATAAAATTTTCAGAAGTTTCAAAAAAGAATGTCCCATTTTTAAGTTCCCATGTAGCTGCAAATTTTCAATATTAACATTTTATAATTTGTCCATCAAACCCATATTCTTAATTCTTGTCTCCAACTTATAAATGAGAGAACTAATTAGTAGAAGTTGTAGCACATGAGTGCTAGTTAATTATATAGTAAGTATATATAATGCAATGCCATATACACCATTTTTTCTTCAATATTCTTTCCTGGGAGCTATTTGTTAGCAACATTATTAAAGCCCAGAATGATAGTAGTAGCGTAGCAGAAAAATGGAGGATTCTTAGTGGGAATAACAACGGCAGTAGATGATAATCTTTTTAAATCTAGTTCTATTGCTGACTAAACCTCAAAAGGTTTTGTGTTGGATGATGCGCTATGATATTGTATTGTTTTAATATAACTTTAGTATTTATATTACCTGTATTGACACTTCAATTCATTTTGATATTTGTCTCTAGGTCTAGGAAGAAGCGACAAGCTGCCCTTATTAAGAAGCTTGAGCTTCACAACAATGAAGCTCCACAATAATGGCAGTCACAAGTAACAAGAATTAGAGCTAGAAACAATGAAGATGATCTTGTGGAATGCAAAGCTTAACTTGATCTTATGCATTAGTAGAGTATTTATAGATTACATAGAAGCATCTAGATGATTTAAAATTGTAACTAACTATTACCGGAAAAAGAAGGGTACGTATAAAGAATACCATAGATCTGGGTTGTCATCTTCTTTAATGGTATAAAGCCTATATTGTATGTACTTTCAGTAGGGTTATGCATGCGTATCCAATGTGGCTTTATCCGTTGATACAATTTGTGGAGTGCATGCATACCATCTTTGAGAGAGACGATAAATAGCTATGGATCATTTTCTTATTCGAGTTTATGTTGAATCATGTATGTATATTCAATGACGGATGATGGTATGTTGTATGTATGCATAATCATTCTACAAAATTTGCTTACCTAGCGCGATTTTGCAAATTAAAAAACTTCAAGAGTACACTCCGTAAAAGAGGTTCATTCAAAGTGTTTCCAAACACCAACTCTATGGGATACTCTAAATTCTCTGTTACAAAAGATGGGGAAGAAAGCTGAAATAGTTGAGATTAATGGTCCTCTGAGTAATATTGTCATCATGCTTATTCAAACATAAATTTTTAAAAAAGGATACCACTGATGACCACAAGACAAACATATCATGAAGACAACGAAATTCAGTTCCTTCCACATTCCAATAAACTGTAGGAAATTCCAATCAACTTAACATCTTCATAGATACGTATAAGTAGACATTACAGTTGGATCTTAACCAAAAGGCTGATAAAATATGCACATACTCTACTAAAACCAATTCAATAACGAGAGTCCCAACTCCAATGCTAATCAAACTCACTCTCCCTGATGAGACAAATAGCAAAGTGAATTAAAATTCTTCAAACTAGAGTAATTTCATCAAAGTTTAATATGCTCTGAAGTTGAGGAGTAGGCAAAAATATCTATTTGTAAGAGATCATAACATCTATTGAAATGCATTTCTTGAGCACATCAAAAAAAAAAAATTGCAAAGAATCCTTGGTCAATAACAAGCTGCATAAGTCAATATGCAACAAAGAACTCCAGGCACTATAACATATTAACATAGAGTGAAACCAACAACTCCTCGCAGTACAACCAGATTCTCTACAATTTCCTTTACACTGACTCTAAACCATTTCATCATGAATGTTTTTTTCTTTTTTTTTCCGGAGTTGAATATAGGAAACTATACTAGGCCATAAAATTCCAGAATATGAAAACACACAAAAAAGTTGTTTTCACTTCAAATCACTCACAAAATTCAGAAACAACTCCAATTTGTATTCATGGCCCAAATCCAATTTCCAAATACCATTTTTAACATCGAAAACAAAAACTACTTTTTCAAGTTTCACAATTTTCAAGGCTCTAAGACTGTCTATAGTTCCTTGTTATACTAGGATGAAGTTAACAGTTGCTAATGGGCAGATCATGTACACATTATTGTCCAAATTCTCTGTGGCAAATGACAATAGAGTGTTCCAAGTGATTTGTTTTTGACAATAGAGTGTTTTCTCTAGTTAAAACTGAGTATCAGACTACACTACACAATCTATCTGGAAGTAAGGTTGAGCGCCTTGTTTGGTTACCAGGAGGAGCACACTTTTGACTACTACACCACACAGTCTGTCATTTGTCATTCGTAGGGGAAGAAAGGTTGATCACCATGTTTGGTGTCACCAGGAGGAGCAGAGACTTTTCCCTACTGAATGTGAAAAGCTACTTAAATTGTTTAATATACATCAGTTTAGTGGGATAACTGTTGTTTGTACCATGAGTACCCACTATGAAGATGGGGATCATCAGAAAATTCTTAAGAAGAAAACAGTCTTGTTGTCAGTCCTTTCAGGAAGTCTTTGATGAACCAAAAGACCTCCTAAAATGTGCTCAACCTTTCAATTTAACTAGGTTTGTGTCGGGTTCTCCAAAACTAGTGTATATTTGGAGAATCTGACATGGGTGCGGCATCGAAAGTGAAAAGCCTGCGCAACTACGCTTTTTGATCATTGATGCACCCAGTTGACACGGGTGTGTGTTGGATTCTCCAAGAATACACTACTTTTGGGGAACCTAACACCAACCCGTTGACATTTTTTGAATAGTCCAAACAACACAAGGTCATTCCCCTCCAAAAGACATGTTTCAAAACATCTTTAATTATTCAATAAACTGAAGGGCTACAGTGGAAAACCGACAGATTGTACATAATGTTGAGAACTATTTTTAGACACACAAAGGATATAATAATGTGGAAAAAGGTGTGTTTACAACAATTAAGAGCTGTTGTGAAGAACAAAATCATCATCGGAACAATTACGGCCAAGTTGGGCAGCAAAGGTTCCATTTCGACAAAAGTGTAGAAAAGAGGTTTACAAAAAAGTTGGAGTAAATAACACAGTAATAAAGAAATCAAACTTACTCTTCCCGGATTATAATCAGTTGAGTGTGAATCCTGCGTGGCCAAGCCAAGAAACAAAATCAGATTCAGATCCAACTCTGAATATATTGATCTTTCACTTTTTTATTTGCTTATTAAATTGGGAAAAACAGAAGAAAAATACATACGTGCAATAGATGACATTACAAGCCGTAAAGGCCCCAGCAAGAAACCATTTACCTGCAAGGGATCAGAGTTTGAGTTATTACTAATGAATTAATACAACAACAAAGAAGAGAATTAGAGGGTGATTAAATTACAGGTACGACGAAATGAGCGATCGAGTTCAGCTTCAGAAGTGGATTCAGCATTCTGGCAGTATCCCCTGATTTGTGTTCCCAGCAAAGCCCTACCAGCCCTAACAAAAAGAAGAAGAAAAAACTTGAGGATAAATCAAAAGTTATAAAATCAAGATATTAGCTGCAACGAACTCACCTTCTGAATAGGGAAGCCATTAGCGGACAACAATACAATCAAAGAAGCAAACCCTAGGCGGCAGGCCTGAATCTGATGATGACGAGCAAACAATTTTTTTTTTTGAGAGAAATATTTTATTTTACTTTATTATATATACTACTTTTTATTTTATATAATATCTATTATATTTCAAAGGGAATTTTGTAATTTTAAATATTATTATGGATAAAGCTTTAAATGTATAATTGTATAATTAATTGTTAAAATAATATTATAGAAGAATTCAATTTTTCTTTTGGAGAGTTAAAAAAAATTGTTTCATGTGTAGCCCACAAACTTATTTTATTTTATTTTATTTTTAAAAATCAATTTATAATAATAATATAAAAAAAGAAATTACTTTTATACACTTGACAATTCAAATTGTTCATCTATGTTTATTGCTAGTACAATATATTCAATATAATGCTACAATCTTCCATGTATGTAATTTTCTTTTTAATTATATATAATGTTTTTTTAAACACAAGTATTCATGTAGTTTATATAGCCTATTTTATCTCCAAAAAAATATTTCTTTTATGTTTAAAATTTGCGACTTAAATAAGAAAACAAAAATAACACATTCTAAAGAGAGAAAAAATATAGAGTTGATAATGTAAAAAAATTGATAAATAATGACCGTATAACTGTAGTTTAAGAAAATACATAACCAATTAACAGAATAAATTTTTAAAAGTACAAATATATGGGATTAAAAATTATTTTGTCATCAAAATTATATATCATATATTAAGAAAACTTCCACAATAAATAAACCACGAATTGACCTTCATATAATAGTGAGTTGCACTTTTTAGTCTTGATTTCTACTTCTTACAATCTTGTTCATGATAAATTAGTGTCATTCGTCGAGAGTAAGAAACATATTAAATATTATATTATATATAATTTGTACTCCAATTTTGATAAATAATTTTCAACTATAAATAAATTATCTCTTATCATTTTCATATTCTTTTATCATGACAATTAACATATGACATATCTCCAATGAGTGACACTTAACTCATAATGACTTTCGTGAGTTTGTATTTTTTAGTCTTGATTTCTACTTCTTACAATCTTGAATTATGATAAATTAGTGTCATTTAAATATTAGATTATAAATGTTTTACAACTTAAAAAATAAATGTTTTCTCAATTGATATCAAAACTTGAATTTAAAAATTAAATTACATTATTATCTTAATTTTATTACAATGTTGGTTATTATTGACAGAATATTGACAAAAAATACTATAAAAACAATTGTGAAAATGCTTTAGTATTTTCATTTTAATTTTTTTTAAAAGGCAAAATACTTACAAAAAACTTAAATTTCGTGAGTATAAAATTGATCTAAAATTTGTCCTCTCTCCATTTCGATTTATGTAATATTTATTTGACTTAACATGAATTATTTTTTTATAAAAAAATAATTTTAGGACTCATGATCTAAAACAAACCTTAGATGTTCATATGATTATAAATCATCTTACTAAAAATAAAATAAATATTTTAAAGATAAATTGTTATTAAACATATTAATACATTATCACTATTTAATAGAGATAGAGAAATTGTTTTAGAAAAATCTTCAAACTTTTAAGTACATTGAATTCAAATAAAAGAAGAAGCGGACAATCAACAAAGCCCAACAATAAATATGAAAAACAGTGTAGTAGCTACAAGAAAGTAACAATACCAACAAGGTTATGTGCATGCATACCATCTTCGAAAGAGAGAATATATAGCTCTGGATCATCGTCTTATTCGACTTTAAGTTGTATCATGTATGTATATTCAATGACGCGAATATAATAATAAGGAAAAAATTACATGAATTCGTACATTTTAATAAATAATTACTGATTTTAATAATATTTTTTATTTATTATCAGTTATAGCAGTACTATGTTAATCTGCAATATGTATTAAAAGTGAATTATGTATGCAATATATATGAATTGTGTATGAATAATATTTGTTTTTAAAAATATATTATGTTGTTTGGTAAAAATTTGACACATTGAATTATAAGTGTATTAAAATGTGTGATAAATGAATTATCTAACATTAGGATTTGTATTATATGTGAATAAAAAATTGTTCTTTCTAGTATGAATTAAACTTGTATTATAAATGAAATAAAAGTGATCAAGTAAAAAAGAAATATTATTAATATAAATGGTAAATAATTTTTTCTAGACCATGGGCTACAAAAAGTGTTTTCGAGGGTTATTTGCGAGTAATCCAAAACTTGATGGAAATTATTTATTTTTATCAAGTATTTATTCAATATTTAATTAAATCATTTAAAATAATTTAACTTTTAAAAAATAAATATTAAACTTGTACACTTTTACGAATTTTCGAAACTATGCTAAATAAAAATAAAATAAAGTAGAGTTGGTGGAATTGTAAAGAGCCAGTAACAATATAAATAGGCTGTGCACCTAATTTAATACAGTAAATATAAATAAAATAGATAAATGTGACAGTTTGGTGCCGCGACAGGATATTATTTTGATTTTACTAGTATAAGGATAGGGAATATAAGTTAAAATTCTTTCATTTTTAATCAGAAGTTATTAATCTTTTTTAACTGTATAATCTATAAAAAGATTAATTGAAATCATTTGTTCGATCTATTTTAATTTGATATAATTAAAAAAATAATAATTTAGCCATTAGATTGAGACATTGAAGTTGATAAAGTTTGATTCGAACTTATTGTTCTTACAGACAAAACGAATTTATAGCCATTGGTTCATGAAGTGAATATGTTGCATATGAACCAGATGCCACGACCCATTTGATTCCTTTTCCCTGCAATTATTAGTTGAAATCAGAGTTATCGATACTAGATATTTTATTAACTGTGTTTAAATATAATTTTTGATCTAAATTTTTTAGCTTGATTATATTAGTCATTGTCAACTATCCGCCTTAAATTACAAATCGAAGTGAAATTTGTTGTAGGGGAAGAATATTTATTCAAGTCTCAAGTTGAGATGATTAACTATATGACCAAATCGATTTTAGCTATTATAGGTAGTTGGCTCAACTCTGCCACACAACACAAATTTAGCAAATAATTTTTGGAATAAGTGCATGTGCACATCTAGCCCATGGGCTACATGGCTAGTCAAACTATTCTTGATGTTGCATGATAGCTCGTTTGAAAACCATCGTTTTCTTTTTTGATAGTTGAGAAATTTTAGAGGCGTGATTTAGAACTCAATTAATAATGAACTCGTTCTTTTAGTTCTTTTCCATTACTTAAATATCATATTGGTATAATCGCAAAAATAGATATAAAAAGAGTAGATATTATCATCCCATATAACATAATTGATCTGATCTAATCATCTTTCTAATACTTACTTATAAGTCTTTTGATACGCATACATTAGATATGAACTTCTATTTCACCGATCCCAATTTTTATATGATTTATAACATCCTCGTTAATCTCTTTATTTCCTTGGTAGCGCTAGCAGTAGTTAAGCCACCCCATTAGGCCATACACAAACCCTCTTAATTCTTCCACTTGATCTTAATCAACAAATCCATTGTCAAGAGACTAGGGGCTGATTTACGTGGATCCAAGGGGTTTCAATGAAAAAATTACATAACATATACATGATTAATATTTTTTTATTTATATGTATATACTAAGTGATAGATCCCCTGAACATAAGCCAAGGGCTTGCTTCAGCGGTAAATATTGTTCAAAAATTTGTTATCTAAGTGCTAGGTATCGCGGGTTTGATTCCAGGTAATAATGTTTTCTACCTGTTTTCATCTGATTTTCATTTTTATTTGTAAATAAATGAAAAATTGTTTTGTTTGAAAATCTATTGGGATTTATAATATTTCATTAGATATTAAAAATAAATTTCTTTTCTATTTTTATAAAATTAAGTAAAACTTACAATGTTTTAAGTTTTTATAATTAAAATTCAAAAAAATCATTCTCTCATACTCATTTTAAGTCAAGCGTTTAAATTAGAGGTGTGCATAAACACCGAAAAACTGAAATACCGAATCGAACCAAATTTTTTTAGAATTTCGATTTTGGTATTTCGATTTTTGGTTCGGTGTTCGATTTACTTTTTGTATTTTTTGGTATTTCGATTCGGTTTTCGGTACGTATTATTTTGGTTTTCGGTATTTCGGTTTAAACCGAAATATTATTCTATAATTTATATTATATTAATTAATAATTATTAATATTAAATAAATTTTTTTTAAAAAAGAAACCCTATGGCCTATTGCCCTATTCCTCTCTTTTTCATTTTTCTCATGACTTCCTCTTGACTCTTTCATAATCCTCTTCTTCCTCTTCTCCTCTTCCGCCAGCCAGAAGCAGCAGCCGCAGCCACACCGTCCACCAGAAGCGCCAGCAGCAGCCGTGCTGTTCGCCAGAAGCAGCAGCAGCAGCATCCGCGCCTCTGCCATCAAGAAGTCAGTAGTCGTGCCGTCCGTCATCAAGCAGCCAGTAGCCGCACTGTCCGCCATCAAGCAGCCAGCAGTCGCGCCGTCTCAGGTCCATTAAAAAACCAAAATAAAAAATCGAACTAAATTAATAAAAATCGAACCGAATTAACAAAAATCGAACCGAATCGAAATATTTCAGTTTGGTATTCGGTACACAATTTACAAAAATCGAAAACCGAAAAAACCAGGAAAAAAAATAAAAATCGAACCGAAACACCGAATGCCACCTCTAGTTTAAATTTATATTCGATTAATGAATAATATAATTATAAGTAAGATCAAATAAATAAGAGTAATTATTTAAAATTTATAAATAAATACAATTGTCGCGATATTTTTCAATCTTGATAATTATTTTCTCGACGCAAATTCTATTGCTACAATATGATCAATTCAAAATTATTCCTTTGTTAGTTTCAAAAATTAAATAACGTTTATATATAACAATGACACTAATAAGACCCATAATTATAGGTTTAAAAAATATATTTCCGCATACTTATATTTTAATGTTATGTCAAACATATAGTTACTCAATTTATTGTTTGGGTTGAGGTGGAGTTGAATATTTTAGTTGCTTATATGTGATTCGATCCGTTTATATTTGACTCATCTCACTTATATGGATACTATTATCGTGTTTATTTATCT